GAGGGTGGCAGGCCGCACCCGCTCGCCTCCTTCCGTTTTAGGCGCCCCGCCCCCGCCCCGCCCGGGGTTTCTGTAGCTGGGGGGTGCCAGCGGTTCTGCCTGCAGGGGGTGGGGCACTCAGGGCGAGGGGGCCGCCTCTCCTCCCCACACGTGTGGAAGCAGCCCCGGCACTTGCCGGAGAGGACGGAATCCTCCTTCCGTTTTAGGCGCCCCGCCCCCGCCCCGCCCGGGGTTTCTGTAGCTGGGGGGTGCCAGCGGTTCTGCCTGCAGGGGGTGGGGCACTCAGGGCGAGGGGGCCGCCTCTCCTCCCCACACGTGTGGAAGCAGCCCCGGCACTTGCCGGAGAGGACGGAGTTCTAGAATGGAAGGAAGGGCGAGGACAGGCAATATGGCGCTGGCCTTGGACATAACACCCCCCTCCCCTCCCCTTCCTCTCCCTGGTGGGGGGGAGCCAAGCAGCTTACAGAACCACGTAAATAAAATTTAAAAACTGAAGCCGTCCTAAGTGAACAGAAGGCAAAAAGCGGCAAGCTGGATCCTGCGGGGCGGGGGGGGGGGCAGGGGCGCTTCCCCAGCCGCTGCAGGCCGTGTGGTTCTCCTTGCCCCATCTCTCTTGCCTTGAGACCGGAAGGAGGCAGAGGGCAGCTAGGTGTTCTGCAGTGGGCAGGAGGCGGTGGCGAAGGGCTGCTGCCCCTGACAGCCAAGCAGGGCCCCTGAGCTCTGAGGCAGCCCGTCTCTGGGCCGGCTGTTCCTGGGAATCTCAGGAGTTCAGGCCAGGTGGACTTTTGGTCTGACCCCTCTGGGCAGGTCCTCTTCTCCATGCGCACCTGAGGCTCGGTTCACACCTGCACATGAAGACGGAGGTGGGAGAGACCTGGACTGGCACAGTGGACTCGCACCGTCTCTGGGTGCTGCTGGTGGAGAATCAGGTTTTGGGATGCTCCCTGGCAAATAGGAAGGAAGCAGCACGAGCGAAGAGAACGGACAAAACTGTCTTCCCCGCGCTCTCTCACAGCTTTCAATTTGTAGGAAATATTTTATCTGAAGGAGTATTTAGAACTCGAATCCATGACCCGCACTACGAAATGGCCCAGTCCTTGTACCGCACAGGTGAATCGTACTTGAGACACACCATTCCCCCTGTGCTCCTGCCCATAAGGTGGCACTTCTCCATCTTCTGGTTCCAGGGTGGTGACAGTAGGAATGTTATGGGGGAGCCCTAGCGGTCTATCCTCAAGCCTGTGGTGGTGGCTTTCACTCTCTCCTGGTCTGCCCTGGCATCAGAGCCAGACAGTGAGATGCCACGAAGGTGGGATGCAACCCACTGTGGAAGCTGAGGCCCCTGGGCATTCTTCCTTATTGTATGGCAGAAACTTCCCACCTTGAGCTTTCTGGTGGAAATGTCCCCAGGAGACACAGGTGGGGCATCTGCGTATATGAATTTGGTTCCACTGTGATGCCTATTTTCTAGGAAGACAGGTGGGCCAGAGGCTGTCTCGGGTCACCTTGAACTTTTCAGCTGACCTCAGAAGCAGTAGTACCTCAAGGATGTGTCCTTGAAAAGCAGATCAGATCAGCTGATCGTAAACAGGGCCTGACAAAAGATTTTCACTGCTGTCCCCAGTAGTGGAGCTGAAATGTGCTGTTTCACCTCTCTTTGGACTGGCTTTCTGATATATTCAAGGCAGGTGGTGAGGAAAGGGAACCTTTCAGAGGCCTGTTGGCAACTGTAGGGGTGGCTACTTGGGGCCCAGCAATCTTCAGAATGAAATCCTGTTCCAGGGGTTGGCTGTGGATAACAGTGATCAGGGCAGGAAGCGGGGATAGACCTAGGCTCCCCTGGGACAGGAAAGTAGGCATGGCTTAGGGCCTGGGAATACGTGGACGCGTGAAACTTGTACGGGAACGAACCATTGGTCCATCGAGGGCAGTGTTGTCTACGTAGACTGGCGGTGGCTCTCCAGGGTCACAGACACAGACATTTCACATCGCCTGTTCTCTCATCCCTTTAACTAGAGGTTCCAGGAACTGAACCTGGGACTTTCTACATGCCAAGCAGAGGCTCTGCCACTAAACAAAGGCCGCTGTCCTAAATAGTAGTAGTAGTAGTAATAATAATAATAATAATAGCAAGCTGAAGTCATACAGTTACCATATATATGAGCCGGGGCTTGTGCCTGAAACCCGTATCCGATTCCCGGACTCTGTTCTGGCACAGGAGACTAAGAGAAGCTATTTGGCCGGGTCCACGGCTGCCTTTCAGCTACGTCTCTCCTTTTGCGTATTGCAAGTCGAGGGGATGGCGTGCTGCCTGCGGGCACACCCGTCTGCGTTGGCTCGCTCTGCTTTGAATGTGAACTGTAGACATGGGTAAAGTGGCTGCAGCTGAGGGTTCTGCAAAGCCTGCCGGGTCTTTCCATTGGAGGGGGTTTGTGGCCTGCCATCCCCTCTGGCAGGGTGGAGCATCATCAGCCTTTAAAAAAATCCAGGGATGCCGAGTCTCTCTTGAAAACAACCTGGTTTAAAATGAAATCTGATTTTAATACAGGTCCACACAACAAAACGGAGCCCATGATTGGTGTACTAGATACACGTCTCATGAGGTCATCTCGTAAGACTCTGGGTTGCCATAGTAACCTGCATGGAAACTGTACGTTCTTCACAGGACAGGAATGAGGAGGAGGGTTTGCCTGCAGACAGAACAGGCCGGAGGAGTCTGTCGCGTGGGAGTCTGCAACCTTTTACACGTTGATTAATAATCCATACGAATTCTGCACCCAAAATGCTGGTTGTTTGCGAATCCTTTATTGGGAAGTGGCACACATGAGCCCTCGTTTCAAGTCGTATCCACAGGAGCACCGTGCAGAATGGTTTTACTGCACTGGCATAAGTCTGCGTATGGTTGGCCTTCGGGGGTTATTGGCAGCTTTTCACTGCTACTATTTCCCTTTCTGTAAAGCATCCTAGGAAGGTTTTTAGTCCCATAAAAATCCTTGCCTGCCCTTCCCTTCTCATACTGGTTATGCTAGCACCCCACCCAGCCCTCCAGTGTTCTTTAACTTAAATATTTATTTTTCAGTTTTCCATGCTAAGACGCCTGGAATGCGATGACAAATTGTGCGTATCTGTGACTGTCAGCTAGACAGCTGGAGGGCACAGTGCAGCTAAATCCATTAAGCAATTTTCAGTCCCTTTGACTTCCCAAGAAACAAGCACAAGCAACGGGAGTTTGACCGGATTGTGCCCTTACATTCCGTCCCACAGGGAGAGGCCAGTCTGCCCAGTTAGTATCAACGCTGCTTCTGGCGAAGGCACCCTCAATCCCCTTGTCTGTAAAGTGAAAGGACTCCTAGAGGCTTTTATGCCTCTTGGGTTGTGTAAAGGCTCCCTCAGTAGTAAGCCGGTCTCTGTCTTCCTAAG